AGCTGCTGCACTACGATGCGGAGCAACTCCCAATGGTTGCGTACGTTATTGCGGATTGAAAATTCCTATTTGGTAAGACCGCCAAAACGGTGAAAAAATACAGTGTGGCGTCTAATATCGTGGATATTTTGGGCAGTTTCTCTCGGCGTGGGGTGAAAGGGTATATAATCTACGACGTGGCAATGAAGGGTCATGAACCGCCTGCTGGTTTGCCTCCCAGTGAATGGGGCATTATTGTGGTGACGTCACCGAACGAGGGCAACTTCAGCGGATGGGAGGAACAACGTAGATCCATACAAATCATAATGAATTGTCCTGAGAAAGACGATGCAAAGGCGATGTGCATTTGGATGAAGCGCAATGAGCCAACCGTGCAAGCGGGGTACATGAAGGAGGTGGAAAATCGAATGGATAAATTGGGACCGCTTCTTCGCTACATCTTTGATCAGAGCGCATACAAATCTCGGCTTGACTCGTGCGAAAGTACAGTTAATAAAATGACCTTGTCGGATACCAACTATTACTCTGTTTTGGGGACTGATAAAATGTGTGAAGGTAGCCACGTCTCTCAAAAACTTGTAAAGGTCGTACGAGTACGAGGAAATGGGCATTCCGAATTGCCTTACAATGCACTGATTTCTTCTCACCTTGCAGAATTAACGTTATGCAAGTTGGCGGAGTTAATGGTGCCGAATGATTTTAATTTACTCATATTGGCTATCAAGGAAGACCTCATATCAAAAGCCCTTGAAGATCATTCCTTGTTTGCATTTTTAAGTGAGGACTTTGTAAATGCAATAATACCGAAACTCACGGAGCTGAAAGTAGAAAAAAATGCTCCACCACATCTCTGTGCGTTGAGAGTGTATCCACATGAGCGCCCTCTCAAGCCCTTTCTTTTAGAGCGCCTGGAAAATTTTAAAAACAAGATTAAAATAGGAGTGTCGGGTGCTATACAAACCGGAGGCTCAAAACTTTCCGCTGGTGGACGGCTTTTTCTTTGTGGACTCAAATCCAAGGACGCTGGTTGGGCTGCGGATGGCTACGGCGGGTGCGCATCACACGATAACCAGCACTGTGCGGCAGTTCACTGAGTGCCTGGCGGAATATTTTAATGGTTGGGAGGAATTATCCCGAGACATCTCGTAGGAGATTATTTATGTGCAGCACGCAGACAGCACGCCGATGAATGACTGGCAGAGATGTGATGTCGACAATTCCGATAATGTGAGCAAGAAGGAAAAACAAAAGATTGTGACGTTTTGGACGGAAAAGGTGCGCCAATACCAAGTGTCAATATCATTCGGAGAATTTAGAAGAGACGAAGCACTTCGAAGTGTGGAGGAACCACGGAAATAGGAAAAAAAAAAATGGGGGAAGGGGCAATTTTGATTTGTGGTAAAAAATATTGCGGGAGTTATATATTTTTTGATAATTTTGTGTGCATACGGTGCAGGTGCACCAGCCCCAGGCGGCAGTATAAAAAAAAATGTCAAAAATGACCAACGCTATCGAGCACAACAGTGGCAGAAGAAATTAGGGAGGGAGTGGGGTTGTTTGGTTTTTGGTGAAAAACATTGGGTGATTTTTATAAGGTATGTTGATTGTGTGTGTATACGAGGCATAATTGGAGAATTGCCTCGGTATGAGGGAATCATTGTGGCTGGCGGTGTTACGGTGGTACTGCATTTTTTATTTTTTTTTATTGTGTTCTGATTCCCATCACTAACAGAAGCATTTTTAAGGGATGGACGAAACATAATTTCTATTGAGGAAACAGTGCACTCCGTGTGACCGCGTGGACTGAGGCGCCGCATCATGGGTGGATGAGGGCCCCGCTTCCGCGTGTGTGGCTCTTTGGGTGGTTGCTCGCTCCGTGTGCGTTGTGTGTTGGCTGCGGGCCGTGGCCGTATCCCGTATTGCCGGGAGAATCCAGGAGCCAACAATGTTTCCCTCGTGGGATTGTTGTTGGCGCAATGCAGACGGCATCTACAAGCGTCCGGACCAGCCGCGTCGTGCCGGGACACAGTTATGGCACCACGAGGTGTGAGGGCACGCGTTGCCGCAGCGCGGGCCATGTAATTGAAAAAACACGAGGGAGGACAACAGAAGCACAACTGTGCGTGCTGCAGCAATTCAGCACTGATGCTCTTTTACTTTGTCGGCACTGGAAACTGAGAGGGTGCGTCCTGCGCCTGTTGCCATGCACTCTCATAGCCACGTTTTGAATGGACCGTGTTGTTTTTTCTCTGAAGCGGGCTCCGTGTGTCAACGCGACAGGGGGACACGGTTGGCGGTGGCAGGAGTCTTTCCCGGAACGGCAATGGAGTGCAGGGTTCCCAGAGTCGGTCGCTCGCCGTGGCGGGAATGGCGCTTAGGGATTTTCTCGAGGCTGTTCCTCAATGCCTTTGTGGTTGTTGACGGCAAGTCGCTGATGGGAGAGCGAGAGATAGTGTGCTGTCGTGTGATTTCTCTCAGTGGCACCCGTTGGAGCGATGCGTGTGCTTGCTTCACAGATACGGTGTTAGGGATCCTTATTTTACGCTATTCGGTGCCGCAGAAGTGGACGGAGAAGTGATGCAGTCACGAGCTGCACGGGCGTGGTGGACACGGTTATGCGAGCCTGTGGATGATCCGAGCAAATCAAAGTGTACCATGCGGTTTGGATCCACAAAGAAGGAAGAAGCGCCGGGCAGTTGAGGGGAGTTGCAATGCACGCGGCGGCAGAAGATGACATGCGTTGCTGAGTTCACGTTGACTGCCACTTTGGATGCTTTTTCTCGAGGCTGGGAATCCTTTCAAATTTACTTGGAGGTGCTTGATGACGCCAGTTGTGGAAGGCATTTTCATTTCATACGAGGATGGCAAACGGGAGACAAGGAAGAAAGAGAGCGACGCCTCGCCAAAGGAGCGGCTGCTGGAACGTTGACGAGACTCGGGATTGTTTGCACGGCCAGCTGCTTGCCCTCTGCAGGATGTTTCTTGAGGCGTTCATTGGCGCGAGTGTGAGACGCAGGCACAGGCAGGCACCGCAACAACAGTGTCGTTGGTTCTCCGTTGTACGAATGAGACGACGCAAATCAGGCGTTGCAGGTGACGTCCCCTGCGAGCCCTCCCACCGCCTCTTCTCTTTCACACCTTGGCATTTTCTGCGCTGTGAAAACCGCTCCCATTGGCCGTCTTCTGTGACACGAGAGCCGCCTGTATTCGTCTCCATCGCATTGCAGAGTCGTGAGGAGGGTTGGAAGGTGCGTTGAGGAGCCGTGTGGCCTCTGCGAGCATTTCCTCTGTTTTTCATAGGTGTTGAATGTTGGATTGCCGAAACGCACCTTGGTTGCTTGCGTTAGAAGCCCGCATGACTGAGCAGCAAACGTGTTCGTGGAGGTGAAGGAGGGCCACGCCATTGGGAGCAGGAAGAGTGAATGGGCGGGTGGATGGTGTCTGTGGCCCACATGTGGTGCCCGACTGGTGCTTCACTGTGTTTGGTGTTATTATCATTTGCATTCACAAAGAATGGCTTTGGCTGCTTTTCCCAACTCTCTTGCTGCGTGTGTGTGGACATGGCTCTTCTTCCGTGCTGTGCATTTGCCGCGTAAGCTGTCGATGGTCTGTGTGAAATATGTGATGATTTACGGCACTTTGTTGGATTGTGCTTTGATGTTTGCCGCGGGGTGACAGCCAGATTGGAGGCGTTGCTTTTTCTTTATTGTGACCACGTGCGGTGTTTATGGGAGGCCTCTCGGGGAAGCGCCAGCCGACATTCTTGTGAAGCCCAGGCATGATGCCACACTGCTTATTGACGTGGAATGAGTTGAGAGGTTTGCATGCAACCTTCTGTGCATTCTTGCCGTGGCGCTCCTCATGCACAGCCCATGGAGACGACTGGCTGAGAATCTTCAGAGGGCGTCTCGTTGAGCCGGGGGGAGCATAGCGTTTTGCTCGCTCATTGAGAGCCCGGGGGTCACGTATGATGCACGGGGCAAGCAGAACCTCGTGCATGGCGGAATGAAGAGACGAGGGGCTGATTGTTTGGTTGTTAGCGACGAGTCCTGTCTCACTGCTTGGAGGGGGCTGTTGTTGACTGGGGCAACCTGTTTTGTGTGTCCAGACGCTGCTTGCACCGAGTGGCTTTGTGCCGTGTTGGTGTGCGCGGCGGCATCAAGCGGGGCGGCTGCGTGGCGTTTACGGACTGTGTGCCTGTGAGCCGATGAACGTGGCGGGAGGCGTGTCTGAGGAGAATCCGCGAAAGGAGGAGCGAAATGCGTTTGGCGGTGCTGCTGTGCGATGTGCGAGGGAGGAGGAAACACAATTGCTTTCTGACATGTCGGTGAATGTGCCACGGCCGCCGATGAGTTCTCAGGGAGGGGGAAAGGAGGGAGTGAGACGGAGACTGTGCGCACCGACTGCAGCGTGTGGTGCCACAGGATGCGGTTGCCATTAGGAAGGGTGCAACCGTCGTTATGCGTGCAGCAGAGCGTCACCTGCATCTTTGTGTCTGCAGAGCTTGCTGGTGCCGCGAGGAGGTGCAGGCGACCCCTCATCATTGGGCTGCTGAGGCCGTTTTTCCTCTCTGCTCAGCGGGAGAAGCAACTCTTCCTGCAAGTGATGTTCCGGTCTGCATCGATACTCCCCACGGGGCATCACGCCGCCGTGCCGTTGCAGTGCAGCTCTCGTGCTTCTCACTGCGCGCGTGACTCCCTGTCGTTTGTCTTATTTGCAGGGACATGGCCTGCGGTCCCCATTGGGAGGCTGCTCACATGTTTTTCTTAATTTTTGTGTGCTGTTGAGAGGTGCTGTGGAGTAATGGCTGTGGGGATGGTGATGTTGTGTTTTGCTGTGAGTGGTGGAGGTGTGCACTGCTGTTGTGTTGTCTTTCTGCCGCTGCTGTCCGTTGCTCCTCTCCAAGAAGGAAGCCAATACCAAGCGCGAATCGCTACTGTGAAATTCGAAGGCTCTGAAAGGACCAACAGCACACACACCGCCCACACGCACATATTTATATGCTCTCACGTGTTGCTGCAGAGAAGGCACCCCGCACACACAACCGTCGCCGCGTGACCGGATCCAGCGGAAGGAGGAGGGAAGGAAGAGAGAGTGGGCATCAGAGGCCTAACATGTCCCGGCATGTGTTTGCTTCCGCGGCGCTGCTCCTCTTTTTTGTGACGGTTTGCTGTGGCAGTGGAGGTGCACACGCTGTGAAGAGTAAGTCCGGGGCTGTGCAACTGGCGCAGGAGATCGACTTTTTTGTGCCGAATAAGACGCAGGTGTTGTCAAGACATGGGACTGGTGAAACTGGAGTGAAGGAAGCATTTGCCTCACCCTCTCTCGTCCGTGCTGGTGAGGTGATGGTTGCCATTGCTGAAGGCTTGTTTGAATATAACGGCCATGAAAATAACTTGTTTGGGATTTGGTCTCCCGACATTGTGGCCGGGTACATCAAGGCTGCGGAGAAGTGGCCGTCCATTGTCGCTGAGATCACCAAGGTGGATTGGAGGGCACACACCGTGCTTGGCAGTAGACATGGCGATAATCGTTTGCGCGTTTTGCACCGGCCCACAGCAGTTGCGAGGGACAGTAAGGTTTTTCTACTTGTGGGAGGCGATACTGTAGGATATGACAGTGGTGATGGGATGTGGAAGAAAAATGGCTGGGATATTCAACTGGTTGAGGGTGTGGCCACGCAGTCCACGGACGGCGTGCAGAGTACACTGATCAACTGGGCTGAACCCAAGTCGCTTTTACAACAGATCCCCAATCACACTAAAGATCAGCTGAGGGATTTTGTGACTGCTGGTGGTTCAGGCATTGTGATGCAGAA